CATGCTCCCAGAGCACTGCTAGTGGCCTTCGGTTTCATTGGTCCAGAACATCACTGCATTACATTCTGAATCTTGGAATTGTCAGACTTGTCCAGCTCAGCCAAGTATTGGTTGGAGTGGTCCCCAGAGCTTCTGAGCACTGTTTGGTACTCCTATCCCAAATAGAAAAATGAAAATAAAATAGAGATATCAAGAAAGAACTCTTTGAGAAGTTTGAATTGAGGCTTAAAATTTGAGATTCAACATTTTATATAGAATTGGATTTTATTTCTATTTCTATAGGTAACATTTCAATGTTTGTATCACTCTTCAGGAAACTAGTTTAAAATAATGTTTTTACTTTTGTTATACAAATTCTCTGCACCTACACCTACCCAAAGTTCCTAATACCTCCACCTCTATACTTTTTTAAATTGAATCAGCGTGAGCTACACTTACAAAGCTCTCATTTTTGAGTTTCAGTCATACAACGATTGAGCAACTACCCCTCCATAAGTGTATATTTTCCACCATCAATATCCCCAGTATGCCTACTGCCCCGCACAAATCCCACCCCTTCCCCTGCCTCTATGGCAGACAGTTTCCCCCTTAGTCTCTCTCTGCTTTTAGGTGTTAGATTTGCAATACAGATAATGAGAGCCCATCATGTTTGATCCTTTGTCTACTTTCAGCACACATGTCCCATTCCTAGCGATCCCTCCAACCATCATTGACTTAGTGATTCCTTCTCTATCCCAGCTGCCTTCTCCCCCAGCTCATAAGGAAGGCTTCTAACTGTGGAGCAATCTTTCTGGCCCTGTCTCTACTGTCGTTTGGTGTTAGTCTAATATCATGATATTTTGTATTCCACAAATGAGTGCAGTCATTCTACATTTTTTTCTTTACTCTTTCTTCTTCCATATATTTTCCTTTTCCACATTAGTATGTAATATTTTATAATCTGTTTTGCATCTTTATTCCTACATTCTGAAATTAATTTCTGTAGTCTATTATTAAAATTTTATGTCTATATATAATACATACATAATTTTAGGTGTATAAAATCATTTAATAAAAATAGTTTAATAAAATGTATAATTATTATATTATATTATAATATATATAATATTATATTATAATATAATATATGTCTATATAATACATATAGGCATATAATATATTAAATTCAATAGCCCATTTTATTTTTATTTTATTTTACTCACTAGCTCTTTTACTGCTAGTAAAGGGTAGCATCGATTTTGATTACATAAATCTCATACATTAGTTTTCCCAAGAAGTAGTTACAGAAACAAATTTCTCGTTACTCATGGCCCCTATATAAAAAGCAGAGGTTGATATAAAATCACTAAATGGTTTTATATTTTTTAATTTGTGGGGTGTTTTTCTTATTTTATAGCATTGAAAGCTGAGAGCCAGACTAATGCCAACCTAATCTTTTATCATTTTTCCCCCTTGGTTTTATGCATGAGAGAAGGGACTCTTGTTGCTGAAAGATTCTTGTGCTGGAGAGATATTACAGATAGTACTATCTGAGAGATGTTATATTGCCTTGCTTGCCTTCAGCCAACCCTGATTCAACCTCTGGCACTGTGTATGGTCCTCTGAATACTGAACAGCAGATACTCCTAACACAGAGCCAGAAATTGCTCCTGAGCACTACTGAATGTGACCTAACAGTCTCCCTCCCCACTCCCAACCAGATACATCTTTTTAAAAGTTCTTATAAACTCAAAATTCAGTTTTTGTATCATCTAGTATTAATTTAATATAAATATTCTATTTTGTTTCGAATTTATATCAATTTTCCCAGGTATATGATTTGTTTGTTCAATGTGTAGAAAATATCTACTTGGACAATATTCTTTGAATTGTAATCTTAATATTTCTGAAATTTCTCAGTTGTCTTCTTTGGAGACTCTGATATTAATATACTGAATATTCTTTGTTGACTCTCTATACTCATTTAATTTTATATAACTAAAAAGTTTATTCTTGGCTTTCTTATTTCTATTATTTTATTCCTTACAATAGTATTAGAATAATTTGGGGTCATAGAGATAGTAGAAAGGTCAGTAAAAAATTTTACCTTGCATGTGGCCAATCCGTATTTTTCCCCCTGGCACCATATATTGTTCTCCAGCACCACCAGGAGTGATCCCTAAGCACAGATCACAGAGCCACAAGTACGCCCTGAGCACCAGTGGTGTGATCCCAATAGCAAAACGAGTCATTATTGTTTTTACTTTGAAGTCATTTTAATAAGAATTTCCTCTGAAGATGACTTTTTCTTCAAATTCAGTTTTCTCAGATTCTGTTAAATAAACTTTTATCATTGAGACATTTCTTCTCTGAATTTCTTTGTTTCTCCTTTAGAGTAAAAGTAAGTAAAGGCCCTCCCGTTGATCATCGATTTGCTCGAGCAGGCCCAGTAACGTCTCCATTGGAGACATTATTGTTACTGTGTCTGGCATATCGAATACGTCACTGGGAGCTTGCCGGGCTCTCCGAGAGGGGCGGAGGAATCGAACTCGGGTCGGCCATGTTGGCTGCGTGCAAGGCAGACGCCCTACCCGCTGTGCTATCGCTCCAGCCCTGTTTCTCCTTTATAATATTATTTTATAAATTTGAATTGTTTCACTAAATTTTGAAAATTCTTGAAGTTATAGTATATTAAAAACTTTGAATTTTCAAGTCAAGCATTCATTCATTTAGTTATTTTTTTTTAGTTTTGGGGTTCTCCCAAACAGTGGTCAGGAAGCCTAGGGGGTTCCTCCTAGTTTTTCTTGACCAGTCGTGCTGGAAACTCAATATGAGGGCCCAAGAATGAAATGGAGCTCTGGTCCTGTGGTATTGGGGATACCCATGCCACCCTAATGGTGCCTGGCAGTCTTTAGACCTGCATTGAATGATGCTCAGGGGATCAGTCAGAGACTGATTACAGGGTCTACTACAAGCAAGGTAGGCATCTTAACCCTTCTGTTATCTCTACAGTCAAGGCCTTGTCCTTTTATTAATGTCTTTTTTAGATGTCTTAAATCTTCCTGCAGTCAAGATAATTTGCAGGATGACAAAGAGGGCAAATTATTTTGAAGTCTATATAGGGACACAAAAACTCAATTCTAACAGTGTCAGGAAAAAAATGATAAAAGTTCTGTTAGAAAATTTTGTGACTATCAAGGACAACCTTATGTCTATGAAAAGATTGGTGAAAAAGTTTGTAGTCAGTGAGGTTTGTGTTGAAATGAGTGGTTTATTATAATTATAATTCACAGATGGAAATGAAACTCATCTGTTTGATGAGTAACAGAACTGTATACTCCTGATGTTTTTCTCCAGAATTAATTAATACAGAATTTTAGAACTCAGCTTTTCTTTCTCATCAGCAACCTTTGCTACAATCAGAAAATACTAAGTTTTCTCTGGTTTTTCTATTTTTTGTTTGTTCTTTTTCTTTTTGGCTTTTTGGTTCACACCCAGCAATGCTCAGGGGTTACTCCTACCTCTGCACTCAGGAATTACTCCTGGCATTGCTTGGGGAACAAATGGGATGCTGCGACTCAAACCCAGGTTGGCTGAGTGTAAGGCAAATGTACTATCGCTCCAGTCCCAATGTCTTTCTAGTTTCAATAGGGGCAAGTGTCTTGCCAATGGGAGAAAATCACTTGTCTACATCTTATGAAGTGAAAATAGATTTAATTTGGAGAGACTATTTAAAAGTTACTTGATGAACATAGCTGACACATGTTATCGAACTTGATCTTTTTGAGTAGCAAAGGTAATTTTTGTTTTTCTTCATCTCAATCTTCATTTTTCTTCATCTCAATGATGCTGGGTTCTGAGTTCCTTGTGGCGGGGAGGGTTCTCCCTACCCCACTCTGGGGCGCCCAAGTGAAAACAGGTTGGCACAGAATCCAATGGCATGCTTATAGGGGCCTCATTTTATGTTCCTTTCTGGGAAAAGCAGCCGTAAATTTTCTAACAAGCTACTTTATTATCATATTGGGGTTTTTTTTTTCATAGAAGAAATAGCTTAAAACTGTATCCATAACTTTGTCTTTCAGTGATTATAGATCAGGATATGGAAATACTGAAGTCTTAGAGATTTAGAGATTTAAGGGCAATTGAATGGTGAAAGAATATGACCAGAATGTTCACATGTAGTGTCTTGTGTGCCACCAATTCAGGTTCTATCCACAGACCTCTATCTACCCCAAGGCCACCAGGAATGATTTCTGAGTGCAAAACCAAGAGTAAGCCCTGAATACCACTGGGTATGGCAAAAAAAGAAAAGTAAAGAACTGAAAAGAAAAAGAAATATTAATTAGTATAGAAAAGTAAAACAAGAAATCAATTCCAGGGCGAATCTATAGCACAGCGGAAAGGGCACTTGCCTTGCACATGTCTGACCCGGGTATGATCCCCGGCATCCCATATGGTCCCCTGAGCACTGCCATGAGTAATTCCTGAGTGCAAAGCCAGGAGAAACCGCTGAGCATTGCAGAGTGTGACCCAAAAAGGGAAAAAAAAAGAAAAAAAAGAGAAATCAATTCCAAATCTTGTAAATTGTATTCCGTTCCAAACATACATTATTTAGTAGATTTAATTTCTTAAAAAGTAAATAGTATATAATTCTGAATTTAAAATATTAATACTAATAACTAATACTAATACTAAGGATATTCCTTTTCTTTTTTTCCAGAGTACAAAGATGTCACATTCATCAACAATTTAGTGTGAAATAGGTTTAGAGAACTTTGCCCTCCCATTGATCGTCGATTTGCTCGAGCGGGCCCAGTAACGTCTCCATTGGAGACTTTGTTGTTACTGTGTTTGGCATATTGAATACTCTCGGTAGCTTGCTGGGCTCTCCGAGAGGGGCGGAAGAATCAAACTCGGGTCGGCCATGTTGGCCGCTTGTAGGCAAACGCCCTACCCGCTGTGCTATCGCTCCAGCCCTTAATATATTTCAATTAAATTCTCTTACCCTGACTCTTGAGCTCATGGCGGGAGGGAACCAGAGCAACAGCTTTGGTTTCCTCCTCTGGGGACTCTCAGAGCAACCAGAGCAGCAGCGCGTCCTCTTCCTAGTGTTCCTGTGTATGTACCTGGTCACCGTGACTGGCAACCTGCTCATCATCCTGGCCATTTATACTGATAAGCACCTCCACATGCCCATGTATTTCTTCCTTGCCAGCCTATCATGTGCAGACATCCTCTTCACCTCCACTACTGTGCCCAAGGTCCTAGTGAACATCCAGACCCAGAGTAGGTCCATCTCCTATGCAGGATGCCTGGCTCAGCTCTACTGCTTCTTGACTTTTGGGGATATGGACAGCTTCCTCCTGGCCACGATGGCCTATGACCGCTACGTGGCCATCTGCCACCCTCTCCACTATACAATGATCATGAGCCCCCGGCGCTGCATCCTCCTTATTACTATCTGCTGGATTCTCACGAATGCTATTGCCATGCCACAGACCATGCTCATGTTGAGACTTTCCTTCTGCCCCAACAAAATCATTCCTGACTTCTTCTGTGATTTGGTGCCCCTGATGAAGGTGTCTTGCTCTGACACTAAGGTCAATGAACTATTGCTGTTCTATTTGGGAGGTTCAGTAATTGTGATCCCCGTTATACTCATCCTCATCTCTTATATCCACATTTTTGCAGCCATCCTCAAGGTACCCTCAGCCCAGGGGAGGCGCAAAGCCTTTTCCACCTGTGGGTCCCACCTTGCTGTTGTTGCTCTGTTCTTTGGAACGGTGTTCAGGGCTTATCTGTTCCCCTCATCTTCTTCCTCCAACTCAGTAGAAGGGGACATAGCAGCTGCAGTCATGTATACAGTGGTGACACCCATGTTAAACCCATTCATTTACAGCTTGAGAAACAAGGATATGAAGGGAGCCTTAGGGAGAATTCTTAGGGGCAAAGTCTTGTTATTGAGGAAGTACTAACTCCTGAAAACTTGTCAACTAGTGTGTACTCCAGTGAGGAACTTCAGAGAAATTTATTCCTCAATCCTTGTAGTTTTGGATTTCTATGATCATTTTCCACCTTGAATCCACCATATGAGTTAATATTAGACAGGAAAGTCAAATTTTGCATAATTCTATAGTCTTTTGAACTACTTATTTAATCTGATATTTGATTTGGAAACAATTTTTGACAGGAGGAATGGATTTGGCATCATTATGTTTCTTTTTTCAAAATGTAGGAGTACTGCTATTTATTCAGCCACTGATTAGGCTGATTGAATTGTGCATGAATTCCACCTTACCTTTTTTTTCCCATTTTTTATCACTCGATCACTTGACCCTGTTAATCTTTGATTTGTTCAATCGGGTGCCATTAACATCTCCATTTGTCCCTGTCACATGCTAGTGTAGCCCAATGGCGTCTGTTCATTCTAGGAACATGAAGAACTTCAAACCGATCATTCAGGGTCTTGACGAAGAAGTCTGACCATCTGGTAGGTGGGCGGCCATGCGGTCTTTTGACGTTCCGTGGAATCCAGTCGGTAACTGCTCTAGTCCAGCGGTCTTCTCCAAATCTCATTACGTGTCCAGCCCATCTGATTTTTGACACCTTGGCAAATGAGACAGCATCCCTGATTCTTGACCATCTACAGAGGTTGGAACTCCAGATTCTTTCTCTCATTTGAGTGAAACGTGATACTCCAAGCATAGCTCTTTTGATTCCTCTTCAGGAGACCCGAATGGCGTCTCCCAGTAATTACAATGGGTCTCCATTGTTTATAATTTTATTTATTGAATCACCATGAGAGCAGTTACAAAGCTTTAGGTTTTAAGTCTTGGTCATACAATGAAACACCCGAACCTTCACCAGTGCCCATTCTCCATCACCAAAATCCCCAGTAAATCAAAGTAGAGAGAGAGAGTAATTTGGAAATCATCTGCCCCATCCCACACCCTCCCCCTACCTGTGGGGCAGATGATTTCCAAATTACTCTCTCTCTCTCTACTTTGATTACATTCAACATTTTGACACCACACCCACCATTATCATTTGGAATTTTACCCCAACACTCAGATCTGCCAAAAAGGCAACAGTAGACAATTTTTTTTTTTGCTGGTTATGAATAACATGTTCATGTGGCTGCAGTAGTGGCCACACGATTTTGAAATTCCGCAATTTTAACAATTAAATCTGGAGGGATTTCTTGCCAAAACCTGCTGGGTTTAGAGATTTGTTCCTGAGTGTCTGGAATCATGGCCATTTAGCAGCTTGATCAGAAGCCAGAAAAGCCGTTCGTGGCCGGAGACTCCCAGTCTTGTTGGGGTGGGGAGGAAAGGGCCGGCTCCACCCCCATCCCATGAGGTCCCACGTGTCTCGTCACTGCGGGCCCAAACCTGACTGTCCAGTGGCCTCTGGAGCATGATGGCCACTGGGCCGCCAGGCGGAACAGGCCAAGGCACAAAATCTATTCCCTCCTGGGGTGTCCCGGCGCCGGTAGCCTACTGCAGGGACCAGATGCATTTCTGCCAAAAGCCGTTGGGCTTTGAGATCTGTTTCTAAGTCTCTGGAATCATGGCCGTTAAGCAGTTCAATCAGGAACCAGAGAGGCCATGCCTCCAATTATATAGCTGAGCTGGAGGTGGTTTGTGGGTGTGTCTCCCACATACCTAACTTTTGGCCGTTTACTTTCTTGGTAAAGTTTGCCCCAAGTTTTGACCGTCTGGTCAAAGGCACAGCAGCAATTTTGGGGTGTCTGTAAGTCTGAAGGTGCCATCAGTCTGCTGATGCTCTCGCCTAGCAGGTACAGATTGACCTGCTGGTAGTACCATACCCCCATCATTATGTTTCTTAGGTTTTGCATATTTTCATGTTATTTCATTGAATCTAAATCAGTGTCTTTAAAGAGGCTTTGTTCATTATCAAAGGATTATACATAAAGTAAATATTGTATTCCAATAGTTTGTAACTTCAATAAACCAGCATGTTTCTTTCACTAAAAAATTATATACAGAGTCACACTCATGAACCGCCTCTGTCACCACATAAACTCACATAATGGCCTTGCTCTGAGAATCATAAATAAATATCAAAAGAGATCAACTTGTCCCAAAAAACTTTTCTTGGACACCTTCTCAGTCTGCCCAGTGACCGCCCTAACAGAGCACCTGGCAGCCTCTTGCACACACACTGCAAAGTCGCCACCATGTCTCTTATGTCTCTTACTGGACTCAATTGTCTCATGACCAAGACTCACCCAGAAATTAACCTACTGAAAATTCAGATATGTGGGGTTTTGTGACTAAAATTTCCTGGCTTTCTCTGGGTTGGAATGGAGGAATGGACTACTTCCCATGCTTGTGAAGCATGTGCTCTATCACTGGCTACATCTCCAATCTAAAGCAAACACTTTTCCTTAATTTGTTTCAAAATAAATCTTTGTCTGTAAATGAAGTCAGTGGTTTCTACTTAAAATATAATAGTAGGCTGGAGAGATAGCACAGTCGGTATGAGGCAGTTCTCGCATGTGACCAGCCCGGGTTTGTCCTCTGCATCCTATATGGTGCCCTGAACCTGCCAGGAGTGATCCCTGAGTATACCCTTAGGAGTATGGCCTTAGTACAATCAGATGTGGTTCAAAAATAAAAAAACAAAACAAAACTTAATGGGAAGGTTTCTCGATTTTCTCGAGCGGGTCCAGTAACATCTCCATCGTGAGACTTGTTACTGTGTTTGGCATATTGAAGACGTCACAGGTAGCTTGCAAGGCTCTGCTGTGTGGGTGAGATACTCTCGGTAGCTTGCCGGGCTCTCCAAGAGGGGCGGAGGAATCAAACTCGGGGCAGCCATATTGGCTGCATGCAAGGCAAACGCCCTACCGCTGTGCCATCACTCCAGCCCAATGAGAAGGTTAAATAAGATAAAATAACTATGAAATTATCTCTGGAAAGCAAGATCTCAAGGTACGTTGATTATTATTCACAATTGTTTAATAAATATTAATCTTTGAATTTCAAAGATTCTAGGATATAACATTTTATGGGTCAAATAACTGCATAAGTCAGAGTGGCAGTTAAATATTCAAATATTCAAAATTATACTTTTTTGGTATAATTAAAATCAGTCATGTATAAATTTGCTTTGTCCCTTTTGATTTCTCATGTTCTAAGGTAAAATTTGTTCTTCTCCCTTTTTATATTTAATCTATGCATATTTTATGTAATGTTTTGGAAGAATATTTTAATTATAATTTTTATTTTTATCGGAGCCAGATTTTGTCTAGTAATAGACTGCAAAGTATACTGGTGTGCAAAATCTTTTTATTTAGGGTGTTTTTTTTTTAACTTGGTAAAACAGATACCTAGTAGTGGAATTGCAAGATAAAATATTAATCTAGTTTTACTTTTTAAAAAGTTTTATTACTGGTTGTTTAGAACCTGAATTGTTTACATTACCACTGCTACTGAAGGAGGATTCCCTGGTTTTCAAATCCCCTTGAATATGGTCATTATCACTGGTATAGAGTAATATCTCATTGTTTGGTTTTACATTTCATTCATAACAAATGAGTTAAATATCTTTTCATGTGTCTGTTGGACAATTCTGAGTAGGATCTGAAGTATCTTTTCATTCCCCTTTTTGATGTTTTTTTGTTGGTTGTTTTGGTTTGCTTTTTGGACCACACCCAGTGATGCTCAGGGGTTACTCCTGACTCTACCCTCAGGAATCGCTCCCAGCAGGACCCCGGGTGGGGGACCGGGGAGAGATCATATAATATGTCAGGGGTGGAACCTATGTCAGCCAGGTGCAAGGTAATTACCTCACCCATTGTTTTACCACTCAGGCCCCTTTTCTTTTCTTCTCTTTCTTCTATTTTTGTAGCAGCTCTTTTCTTGTTGTGTTTTCTTTTTTTGTGTGTGTGTCATTGAGTTTTGTAAGTGCCTTATATACCTTAGACATGAGTCACTTATCAGACTGTGCTGTGCAAATACACTCTTCCATTAAATAGAATGCATTTTAGTTTCAGTGATAATTTTTGATATCATAGAAACTTTTATTTTTAAATAATCCCTTCTGTGTATTTTGTTTGTTTGTTTCTCTTGACAGTGGTAAAGATAATCAGAACTCAATAAATTGGACTGTTTTGTCTTTATTTTCCTTTGATGATTCTATGCATTTGGTTAAACAGCTAAATTATTGCTCTATTTTGTGTTAAATTTTGTGCACAATACTAGGCCACAAAACATACCTCAATAGAATCAGGAAGATAGAATAGTATCAACCATCTTTTCAGACCACGATGCACTGAGGATAGATGTGAATCACACACAGACACGGAGAACCAAATCAAACACCTGGAAATTAAACAACTCAATGAAGAACAATGAGTGGGTCAGGAAGGAAGTCAAGGATGAAATCAAAAGATATCTGGAAACAAATGAGATTGAAGACACGAGCTACCAGACCTTATGGGATGCAGCTAAAGCCGTATTAAGGGAAAAATTTATAGCTCTGCAAGCATTTCTCAGGACAGAAGAAAGGATCCACATAAACAATTTGACTTCACAGCTCAAGACCGTAGAAAGGACCAACAGAAAGAGCCCAAATCGGACAGAAGGAAAGAGATCATAAAACTTAGAGCAGAAATCAATGACATGGAAACCAAAGAAACAATCTGAAAGATCAATGAAACCAAGAGCTGGTTCTTCGAGAAAATAAACAAGATAGATAAACCACTAGCAACACTCACAAAGAAACACAGAGAGAACCCTAATAAATCGAATCAGAAATAAGAATAGTGATATCACAACAGAAACCAAAGAAATTTAAAAGATCATCAGAGACTACTTTGAAAGTCTGTATGCCATGAAACAAGAGAACCTAGAAGAAATGGATAAATTCCTGGATTCCTATCATCTCCCAAAGCTGAACCAAGAAGATATAGAGTACCTACTAACATCAAGGAAATTGAAACTGTAAT